GATTGGATACTAAAGACAGGTTGATAAGGTGGGGCGTCATTGCTGATCCGCTGTGTAACGGTTGCCATGAATACGTTAACCATTGATTTCTTCAAAGCTCTTATTCAGCTATTTGTTAGTTAACTAATGGTGTGGTTCCTTTGAACACTCAACCGCATTCACATGGTAATATAATCCAACAAAGACAAGAGTCATAAACTGCAAACAAGAGTACAAAATTCATATATTCATGTAAGAACTACATTTTGCTCAACGTAGTAAACATGTCGACAGGTATTCGATAGAATTTGAGGTCTTTCTTTGAGCTACAGAAATTGAGTTTTATCGACACAGATAGTACTTTTTGTTGTGTGTGTGTGTGTGTGTGTTTTTTTTTTTTGGGTCCAAGTTTGTGGAATTAGAACTTTCTCTCAAGTCTTGGCCTTTTGTTCCATATCGAGACATTGCCCCGCAATCAAGTCACTCTGAGTTGTCCCAGAAAGTTGCCCTAGAAATCAAGCTAATTTCCATTATCTGCTACATTGTGGCTGAGATAATGTCCGCAATTTCACTTTCAAAGAAGACTTGGGACTCCAATTATTGAATACATGCAGTGTAATCGTTGTGCAGACTTGGACTTGGAATCGGACTTTTCAATAAGCTAGCATATATATATTATCGACATGAATGTGATAAAGAATAGATGGACATTGTACAATATCTTCTTTTTTTTTTTTTGGGTAAAATTGGTACAAATATCTTTGTTCTAGAAGTTCAATCTCCATCACTCATGTTTTCTTAAGCAAGGACACCATGCCCTGCCCGTCCCCTTCTTTCCCAGCCCCATTCGGCCCCCGATGGGTGAATGCTATCACTATCTCAGACTTTGCATGCTTCATATTCTTGTCTCCTTTGATTGAACAATCTAATCAAGAACTACTTTATTCTAAGTAATGAACATCCATTCTCATTTTGCTTGTTAAAGATTTAATTTGCATCCTTGAGTTGGCAAAACGTCCCATGTTACCTCATTTCTTGGCAGTCTTGATAGAAATAGGTGAAATTAATACGTGGATGTACAATATTTTCTTTCATTGACAAAGGAGAGTAGCTTTACCTTTTTTTTTCCTAGTAAGATCGACTCACCCCGTTTTTTAATGATAAAGGAGAGCAATTGGGATGTGCGTAATCCTAGGTTTCCGTACCTCTCTTAATAGTGTGAAAGATTGGGATGCGTCAGTAATTTGAGATTGTGAATTAGCTAGCATTCAATTTTGTGTTATTTGATTTTATTTTTATTATCAGTATTTTGGCTCAAGGAAAACTCTATACCTTACAAGGAGAAAAGATTTAGAAGGAGAATTTGAGAGTCAAACTAAGAACTAGACAACTGCCAAATTAATGTTGCCACCAAATTGAGTTACGCCATGAAGACGTACGTGCACAAATATAATTTGCAAAGTAAGTGTCTAATAATACTATTGCGTGTGAAGTTGCACCAAAAAAATAGAAAGGTAAAAAGTGAATTGATAAAAACATTGAGGATACAGAGTGGAGTTAGGGTAAATTAGAAATTGCAAGAGAGGGGGTGGCAGGGGTTGTAGTTTTGAACTTTGATCCCTATAAATTTTGAGAAATACTTTTGAAGTCCTTCTCTCGCTGCCCCATAATTTTGCGAGAAAGCCCCATTGACTTCCGCTTCGCCCACCTCCCCAAGCTTTAGCTTTAACAAAAGCTCTTAAAATTTACTCGTCAAATGTTCTTAGATTTTGCATTTGGCTATAGTTGGTCCACTTTCTATAACTTTCGTTCCTCATTTTGGACAATGCTCTTTAATTGATTTAGTTGCGAATTCTCTTGGATAAAGTATTGCATTTTAATATAGCAGCTAGATCTATTAATAGTTGGTCTTCCTTTTTTGTACAAATTATCTCAAATAATTGAAATTACAAATGATCGGAAATCATTGTCTTGAAAGTCTATGAGATATATATGAAGATCATTTACTCCATATTTTCTATTTAAGATCTAAGATCGACTTATTTTCCAAAATTAGAGAGTATAGAGCAACTCATTTATAGTTATATAAAGTGTTTGTATCTCTTGCTTTATTTGAAGTCATCTTGTGATGACAGGAATTTTCTTCTTTCTTGTTTTCTTTTGTTGATTTTGTGTAAATTCAAAGATATCTTCACGTCAACATAACCACCGAGTTTTGGATCAATAACCATAAAAAATGAATTAAATCTCTTTTTGGCCTACGGTGAAAAAAATTCAAAGGAGGTATCAGAATATTCTTTTAGTTTAGTCCGATCTGTATACTTGTTAGTCCATTATATAGTTTCTTTAGACTTCTCTTCCTGTAGAATAAGAAGATTGGCTTCAAAATGTTGTCATTGGGGCAAAAAAAAAAAAAAAACTTCTCTTCAAAATACTCCCACATGTCATCAAATGAAGTTAAAAGATAGCAAGCAAAGATTTTTTACTCACTTTTTTACTTTGCTTCTTACAGGACTATATTTGAATGAGTGGGAACAAAAAAAAGAGAGATAAATTTGTATCACTAATTGTGAATGGTAACCTTGGCAAAGTACCCTTTTGTATTTGTAGTCACCAAACAACCTTGACTATGGCACCGTCTGCAATGAAGACTGCAACTGAGGAAAACGATTGAATGATGAATTTAAGCAATACAATTTCATAGTTTTACGTCTAAGATCAGCAAAATTTGTTTGTACGTCTTTCGGCTTGATTGGGAAGATAAGTATAAAATACAAAATAGTGTTCTGTGTTGAATGGGAAGATAATGTTCCGATTATGTAGAAAAATGGTATTGTATTGTTGTTGTACATCCCAAAGTCTTGGTTAACTTGGTTTGTCCTAGCCCATTAGTCCAGAAGACACGTTGAAGACTTGTAACAGTGTCATGGAGAAAAAACAGATGAACAGAAAATGAGTTGAGAGATTGAGTGCGACCGAAATTGAGTTGAGAGCGAGTGCTCAATATAGCCACAAAACTAGGAGTAATGAACGGTTGGTTGTTCATTTCAAAAATGCCTGTATGGGAGGACACGAGATACATATAATGTAACTGAATGTTGTGACTCATATATGTTTTCTTAAAGATCAAAATGTGAAAGAAAAAGTAATCCAACTATTTGTTTTAAGTGTAATATGCATCATTTTATATGTTTCCATGGTTTTAATATTTGAAAGATTATCTAACGAGGGTTTCTTCCAATTTTTTTAGGCACTTTCTTCCAATTTTGGTAATTTAATTCTTTGATACTTCATTTGTCGCTTGTTGGGTTCAGGTTCATAGTCTATTTGCTCAAACAAATAACTTTTTGGTTTCAGTTTTAAAAAAAAAAAAAACTTTTTGGTCCAACAAGTTCAACCAGCTTTCTGTGTTTTTGATCCATTTTCTAAGCATGTTTCTAAGTTTAAAGAAGATCGAGTTTAGTTTGAAGGGACATTAGCCTGATTACTAAGAGGTTCATGGTTGGATTCTCAAACTTTCCCCTTTATCCTTCCCTTATAAGGTGTGAAGTCTTTTTTGAATCTAATAATAAAGAAATGTACCATTTACTTCTATAAAGTGATCTTTACTCGTCAAATTTTTTCTTAATTAAACTATTGTGTGAATCAATTCGCTTCACTTCAAGATTTGTGCGAAAAAGTTTGCGAGAAAGTTTTAATTTCTCATCCTTTGTGCACGTTATATCAGCAACGATAGACCAACTTATACCAAGACATTCTCCTGTAACATTAACCCAAATTGGTAGGACAAATTTAACATATTGTCAAATTACAGACCAGAAGAATATAATTAACCTCAAAGAAATGGGACGAAAACTAACACATTGTGAGATTGAATTCTAAATCGCGAGATCTGCTGCTCTTGGGAATTCAACTTTTTAAATTTAACACCAAAACAAGGCCTAATTGGAAATAGATACCAAGAGTATGCCTAAGATAAAAATGCGATCAAATAATAGGCCTAGTGTTTAGGTCCTCAAAAATTTAGTCAATCAGAGTTATCAAAATAAACATTTAGCACATAGTACTATGACGTTCTTCAATATCAAATGTGGACATTTGGGGCGTGGGGCCAGCCTCGTTGGGCCCCGGTACAATTTGGTCCGATTGTTGTATTTTTACATTAGTTGATGTACAATTACATTATATTATTATATTTAAAGTAAAAAAGGTGTGCATGAATAAAATATTTAAAATATATTCAATAGAACGTTATGATGTATTTGTATACAAAAAATTTCAACATGTACAATGATGAGACGAAATAGCACAAAACACAATTGTATTGAGTCCTAGTCCGTAGATTTTTATATATCTATTCTTCTTCTTCTTTCTAAATTTGCAACCTGTTATAATTGTATATGTTTTATTTCGAGTCCTAAAATATGGAGATTATTTACTTTTTTCTTTCTATTTTTCATTTGCATGCGTATTTTTTCTGAATCACTGATTTCACTCGTCAATTCTGCCTATCAATTCCTTGGACCAATAATTGATTTTAGGGAAAAACATATAAATCGTTCCTTACATATTATTGATGTTAAAATTCAGTTCCTCAAAATGAAAATGACTGATTTTAGTCCCTCATACATAAAAAGCGATTGATTTTGGTCCTCTGATACCTTTGCTGATCAATTCTAACCAGAATTAGCCGCGAGTCCACCATCGCCTTCAAATATCAAGGGTAAATTCGGCAATTAAGTTGCTGCATTGACTGGAAATGTAAAGAACCTATTTTATTTTATATATAAATATATTGTCCAAATTGGGGCTTCTAACTTCAAATCTCCATGGCAACCACAAACTGTGAAGTTTAAATAACTGAAAAAAAAAAACTAAACTAAAATGTGAATATCATAGTAGAAACACTAAAAAAAAGAATCAATAATCATTTTCATAAGTCAATTTAAAAAACCCATTTTCATGGGCAACAGACAATCTAAAAATGCAATTTACAAAATGAATGCTCTTGAGCAAAGCCCTCACTGGCATATGAGGTCCTGGACAAAATTTGTTGACAAATTAATGGAGATGGTGCAGTTTATTTCTGCAGATTTCTTCTTCTTCAAAACCATAGTGAATTTGACTTTTCCAGTCAACTCAACCTTAGCAGTCAGTTGCAGCAACCCAGGATGAAAACCTTCAGTGTCGGAGTTTGAAGGATTAGTAACATCCACAATAACATAGAATGTCTTGGTGGATTTCAATCTTGCCCGTCCATTAGGGATCACAAATTCTTCCACCAATACACCTCCTGAGGTCAAAGTAGTCATGTTGCTATCAAATTTGTAACGCCCAAAATTATTGTTCTTTATCCTGACTTGTGCCGTGTGCCTAATGCTCCCATTCTTCTTGTTGATGACGTTGATATCCTCCAATCTTACCTTAGGTGATTTTACACGCATCACCACCAGGGCAGCCAAAAACAAAAAAAAAAAAAAGAAGGAAGATTATTGTTTGAAATATAGCAAACGCAACGATATATGCTAACCTTTTCATTCTTTTCTTCTTCCTGAGCTCCATGGATTTATAGGTACTTGATTCGTCAGTATCACTCTTGGGCATAATAGTAGATGGCGCCATTGGGTACCCATTTCTTGAAGAGTTCCTTTAATTGGTGGGTTTTGTTTAGGGTTTGGGAGAAGAAAATATTTCAAGTGTTTTTGTTCCAATTTGGGGAATAGGGATGAAATAAAATTGGTCCTTCACATTTCCAGTTAATGTAGCAACTGAATTGCCAAATTTACCCTTAAAAATTTGAAGCATGTGGTGGACCCTTAGCTAATTCCGGCCATAATTGATCAGAACAGGCATTTGAGAACCAAAATCAATCGCTTTTTATGTATAAGGGACTAAAATCGCTTGTTTTCATTCTGAGGGACTGAATTATAACATAAGTAATGTATGAGGGATGATTTATGCCATTTTCCCTTGATTTATACCATATCCTAGTTTTGTGGTGCGCAAATCACAACAAATTCAATATCGTTCTTACTTTTATGACATATTTTGTTCCTCTTTTCTCCTAAAAATTAATTTTTTTTCTCAATGTTATCCAAATTGAGAATGTCGAAGTTGTGAGTGCTAGTTTTGTATCCTTTTTTTTCCTCAACACTTTCTCTTCTCTTCTTGTGGTTGACCTATTGGTGAAATATGGGGGGTTTTCTAGTAGTTTATTAATCATTATTGCCCAATTTACAAAGGAAAATATTAATTTTGTTGTTTATTTTTCTTAGTGCATCAACTCCTAGATTCTAATTGAAATTCAAACATGGATGCTATTAATATTCAAATATATTCATCCCCAATTCTGGATTTAAGCTTAATTTTCTTATTTTTAAGGCCTAGAATCACCCTAAAATGGTGAGCATTACGATTAAAGATGATCTTAAATTCCATATGATGAGTTCACCTAATAAACCAACGTTTTTGTTTTCAATCGGATCCAGATTGCCGTGATTATAGCTTTTCTTTCAGATTTCCACAATATTCTTGCCTTCCACGTATAATTCCTTGATTCCATTCGTGGACAAAATTTTTTCTTCCCTCTCATGTTTAAAATTTTTTCCACGTATAATTTTGTGGAATTTTTCTATTATATAACTAGAAAAAGTACTACATGGTTTTTCTTATATTAACGCAAATTTCTTTAGATTCCTTCCTAAATTGATGGTTAAAGAAAGTCTAACACCCTACTTCTCTTCTAATATAGTATCACAGCCAAAATTTAAGTCAGAGGTCCTTTAAGAATGAAGAATTCAACCAAAATTTTAGACAGAATTAATATATTTTTGGCCAAAGAAAATGCTAATTGGATTCCCTTGCATATTTATCTGATCATGAAAATAGTTTATAAACTTCCTTCCTAGGGTAAGTAGTGTAGAGTCAAAAGCCTTATAGTTTTTTTTTTTAAAGCCAAATTGTTTGGATTTTATTGCCTCAGAACAGTTCTTGAGGGAAAAAAGTTTGGTTTTGTAGAATCCTTCTCAAATCTACTGTGAATGGTTTATTCCCTCATAATTACAGTATTGGAGTTTAAAGGCAAAGGAACTTTAAGAGTTTACACCAAAATTTTCAAACAAAACTAAGGGTGCGTTTGATTCTATAGAATTGGAATTGAATTGGAATTGGAATTCTATAGAATTAGAATTCTATGAATTGGAATTCCAAAACATTGGAATTCTTTTGTTTGGGTAATGCATCGAATTGATACATAATTCATTTGGAATTCCAAATTCTTTGTTTGGATGGGAGAAGAATTCATTAAAAATTAGAATGATTTCCAACTAACATTTGCTTACATAAAAAAATTCTTTTTTTTACTATATAATAATTTTTTAACATTTAGCTAATTGTTACTAAAGCTTTAAGGAAAAAGCCAATTAGTGCCTTTAATAATTTATTTTTTCTTGCATTTAACTAATTGTTACTAAAGCTTTAAAGAAAAAAAAACAAATTAGTTCCTTTTCTGCAAAAAAAAAAAATTTTATTCTTGTTTTTTTCTTAATTAAATTATTTTAAATAAAAAATAATTGTATATTCTAACTTAAAATGTAGTTAATATTTATCAAGTTAAAACCTTGATACTTTTTTTAAAGTTAAGAACTTTAAATTTTAGAAAATCAAATGCCTACTCTATGATATGAATAAGGAAGGAAAGTCATAACTTGTACCTATTATAAATGTTTGAACTTTGTATCTTACCAGAAATTTTAATAGATGAATATGCAAACAAAGTGATTTTAGCCAAAAGAAAAAAGAGAAAGAAAAGCACAATTATACATTACTACTATTTTTTAATAAATGGCCATTCTAATATTAAATTAAATCCGAATAGGTTCCTATCAAATTTCAACTTCATGATGGTCTTGTCTAATTTGACAGTCAATAAACATTGCTGGTGCTAAAGCATTCCTAAGAATACTCCGCCGGAGAAGAATTCCAGTGATTTCCGACAGCACAATCCATTTCACCATTGCCCAAAGACACCACTATTAAATCCTCCACTCCCTTGCAGAATTCTTGCTTGTTATTCAGCATGTGAGTGATAGCTGCAGCCGTTGGATTGCTCATGGCCACCCCACCACCAACGGCCGCCATCTTCTTTCTCCCATCCGTTGACCTCAGCCCCACGGCCCAGCTAGCAGTCGTGGCCCCACAAACTTCTGCCATCTTGAAGTCACACCCGTCAATTTCCAACGCATCAGCGCACGAAAACAGGAACGGTGCGATGGAAGAATAGGTGGAGGCAGAGGAGGAAGTATGGGAGGAGGCGGAGAAGGAAGATGTGGAGGAGAAAGAGCTGCGCAAGAAACGGTGGTTGGTCTGTGACGAGAGAGAGAGAGAGAGACTTGCATTTCAGTTTTGTTTTTGTTAATTATATGGAGACCCGTAAATTTACTGATTTAATTCATCTAGGATCCGCGTACTAACCCGAATAGGAGGTGAAAGTATGGAATTGGAATTGGAATTCTTAGGTCTTGCCAAAGAATTGAATTTGTGGAATTGATGGCCCATAGAATTCGAATTGAATTCTAATTCTCCCGCACTGGTGGCGTCCAAACCGAAGATTTGGAATTGGTGCTCCAATTCTAATTCTAAGCCTCCAATTCTGTGGGAACCAAACACACCCTAAGCATTTTTGGGGAAAAAAGAAATTGATTTCCCTCCTATATTTACGTTTACGAACTTTTTCGGTTGCCACCTTAAATTACTAGTGAAAATTGTTTTTCTTCTATCCTAAATATAGTATTGCAGCCAGATTGGTAAAGGTCTTACATTTTTTTTATACCAAATTCGATTTCTTCCTAATTTTACCGTGAAAGCGGTTTATTTCCCACCTAAAATTGAATACTGGAGCTAATTGTTAAAGGTGAAAGCCTTTTAAAAATTCATTTAAAAATTTTCAAACACAAAATAAATTCTTTTTTGAGAGAAAAGCACTGCTCGAGATCCCTCCAATTATTTGCACCAAAATTTAGATGTCTCTGAAATTTATTAGTGAAAGTAGTTTAATTCCCTCCCAATTAGTTGTGAAAACTGAAAATAGTTTACTTCTCTTTTATTATTTGTTTGTTTTCTTGATAAAGATTAATTCCTTTCCAATGACGAATAAGCAAAAAAAAAAAGAGGCCCTCCGGGATTTGGTCTAGCGGTTGAGGTTGCTGAAAATCGAAACTTAGGTCCCTGATTTGAATCTTGTTGCAAGCAAGTCGTGGAGGGTGGGGAATAGTCTGTGGGGTCCACTTTCTGCGGGGCACAAAAAAAAAAGCAAAAAGAGAAAGAGAGTATTGGTGCCAAAATGTCTTAGGAAAAAGCCGCATAAGAGTTAAAACTCAAAAGAATAAAAGCGAACTTGTGTCAAGAAAGATAAAGCCGACAGGGTACTAACCAGTCGTCGTATGATCCTTCATTCGCCAATTCACATTCTGTTGACAGATGGATACTTTATTATTATTATTTTTTTGGTATTGACAGATGGAAATTATTTTGCCCTATGGTTGTTGGCATAAATGATTGTTAATTTATAATATTTTATTATTTTGGACTATGACTTGTTGTCTTCATTTTATTTCCTTGTTCTTTACATTCTCAAAAATTTGTGACATTTCATTAGTAATTTTTACCTAAAAGTTTGAAGGGTCAAGCGCGTTAAAACACAATAAGACACGATCATCAATAGATTGCAGTTAAGATCTTCTATGCCACTACTCGGTGCTAAATTCAGTGTCAATCCCACTTATCACGTGATGGTAGAAGAAATTTAAATAAACAACACATGACAAATTAAATAAACAGAATATTTGACATAAATATAGAAGTGACACTGAATTGCCACTGAAGTAGTGACACTGAGGATCCTGTGTGAATAAGGATGGCAATGGGGGCGGGGGTTGGGGCGGATATTTTTTCCCCGCTTAGAAATGGGGCCCCCGCCCCCACTTAAAAAAATAAATATATATGTATATATGTATATAATTATATATATAATATATCATTTAATTAGTTACAAACTTATTATGACAATGATATTATCAATTATATGTATTATATAATGTATATTAGTATATGTAATATAATTGATATTATCAATTATACTAATAATTATATATGTGTACTAATACAAATTATTAATTGGTTATACTAAATTTACTAATACATTTATACTAAATTCCTAATTAAACTTAATACAATAATATTTTTTTCTCAAAAAAAAAAGCACAAGCACAATAATAAATTAGTGATTGTATTTGTGCCAAAAGTGTTGACTACTTTAGTTGTATTTATTTCATCATGTTGGATTGTATTCAAATAACTTTTGTTTAATTGTTTTTATAAGTTTTAATTATGAAATTACAATGAATTATAATTTGGTGATGTGTTGATATTTTAGCACTTGATTGTT